TCATTTTGAATATAAACATCATATATTTTGCATTAAACATACAAATTTTAGATAAAAAAATTTTCTAGGTAACTATGTTATCTTTTGTGCAAAATATATGACATTTATATTCAAAATATTCCTGGTCTTACAAGGAATCCAGCAATGTCAATTATATTTTCCTAACTTTAGTTTGAGGTTATCCCACACATCTCCTTGGGACGGTTGGTGGGGGGTGGGGGGGGGGAGGGAGGGACCGACCGACCATCTGTTAGCCGGCTGTGTAGTGTGAGAGGGGAAGGGAGTTGAGTCCATTATTTGAATGGACATTAACTTGGCGACTGTATTTTTCTATTTCTCTTAAGTATTAATTGTGTGCATGTACCATCATAAAATTAAGATGTTATTTTTACTACAACATAGGTATGTGCCTTCAAAAAGTGGAGTTTGGGGGTCGGGCCGGTTTCTATTGGAATTAATCCCATATGTTCTGTTGTTCACTTAACGCGGATTTCACTTAACGCGGGACCCTCTGGGTTCAATTGACAGCGTTAAGTGAATTTACAACTTAGTATTACCCGCTAGCAGCGGTTTATAGCGTTTATCTTATCTTGTGATTGCCTGCGCCAGAGCTCAGACTTTTCACTTGCTGCAGTTTTTCCACATATACGCTTGGTGAAGGTGTCGGCTCGAGGCAGCTTATTTTTTGAATTTGCTTACCACGCCACCCTGCCTGACTGCCTGTTTTAGCTCATAAAATTCGCCTAAATTACCCGGCCCGCGAAATATAATTTACATTGCTGGAATTCTTATAATTTGGTGATCATTTTGAATATAAACATCATATATTTTAGATTCTTATACAATTTTTAGATAAAAATTTTTCTCTAGGTAACTATGTTATCTTTTGTGCAAAATATATGACATTTATATTCAAAATATTCCTGGTCTTACAAGGAATCCAGCAATGTCAATTATATTATCCTAACTTTAGTTTGAGGTATTATTTATTAAAATTTAGTGGTTATCCCACACATCTCCTTGGGACGTTGGTGGGGGGTGGGGGGGAGGGAGGGACCGACCGACCATCTGTTACCCCGTGAAGAATTATTTTTTTTTTAATTAACTGAAGATATTTGTTTTAGCTCATAAAATTCATACAAATTACCCGGTCAGAATATAATTTACATTGCTGGAATTCTTATAATTTGGTGATCATTTTGAATATAAACATCATATATTTTGCATTAAACATAGGCTACAATTTTTAGATAAAAATTTTTCTCTAGGTAACTATGTTATCTTTTGTGCAAAATATATGACATTTATATTCAAAATATTCCTGGTCTTACAAGGAATCCAGCAATGTCAATTATATTATCCTAACTTTAATCTGAGGTATTATTTAATACTAAATGTTAAAAACTCTGGAAGGTAGGATTGGTGGGGGGTTGGGGGGAGGGTTGGGACTGACCGCGCAGTTGGAAGAGGAGGGGAGGCAAGGTGGGGTACTTTGATTGACAGATAGTGTCGTGAAGATTATTATTTTTTTATTAACTGAAGATATTTGTTTTAGCTCATAAAATTCATACAAATTACCCGGTCAGAATATAATTTACATTGCTGGAATTCTTATAATTTGGTGATCATTTTGAATATAAACATCATATATTTTGCATTAAACATACAATTTTTAGATAAAATTTTTTCTCTAGGTAACTATGTTATCTTTTGTGCAAAATATATGACATTTATATTCAAAATATTCCTGGTCTTACAAGGAATCCAGCAATGTCAATTGTATTATCCTAACTTTAGTTTGAGGTATTATTTATTAAAATTTAGTGGTTTTCCCCCAAAAATTTCTCTGAGAGGGAAGAGCCAGTGAGTGTAGTGTGAGAAGAGGGGGAGGGAGTTGAGTCCATTATTTGAATGGACATTAACTTGGCGACTGTATTTCTCTAATTCTCTTAAGTATTAATTGTGTGCATGTACCATCATAAAATTAAGATGTTATTTTTACTACAACATAGGTATGTGCCTTCAAAAAGTGGAGTTTGGGGGGTCGGGCCGGTTTCTATTGGAATTAATCCCATATGTTCTGTTGTTCACTTAACGCGGATTTCACTTAACGCGGGACCCTCTGGGTTCAATTGACCGCGTTAAGTGGGGTACAACTATATATATTTGTGTAATAAATGTATGTAGTAAGTACTTAATATTTTTTCACTCAAATCCTAATGAAACACTACTGGAGAACATTTCTTTGTCGCAAAACAAGTTTATAAATTAAAGAAAATAATTACAGTGTGTTTAATATATTACAGTATATTATAAATAAATAAATAAACAAATAATTCGGTAAATCTATTTCAAGTAAATGGAAAATAAGCAAACAAATGTTATTTGCCAAGACGCTTCCCTCTGGCTCAGGGTGAGATGTAGGGGGTAGATAACAAGGCTATTTATAGCCCGTCTTTGTGTCTGAAGTGGCCAGTACCTTAATGCACCATAAATAATTCATTGAACATTCATTTTTTGTACATAGTATATTCAGTACACACATATATATATATATATATATATATATATATATATATATATATATATATATATATATATATATATATATATATATATATACACACACACCTAGACCCCGACTTACGACGGGGTTAGGGACCCAAATCCAGGTCGTAAGTCCGGCATGGTCGTAAGTCCGACAAAAATAAAAAATAAAAAATCTACAATGAAATACAGTACAGTAAAAGTAATGAATAATGATGAATGGATACAGTACAGTGAAAGTAATAAATAATAAGGAATGGATACAGTGTGACTGAGCACTTAACCTTTAATGTAGTCAGCTGAATGCACATGGGGCCCCCATAATTTTCTAATTATACATGGAGACTACATTAACTGGAAACGTTTCGGTATAGAAAATGCGTGTCATTTTTTTTATCTATATCTGAGGCGGTCGTAGTCCCGACGGTCGTAAGTCCACGTAGTCGTAAGTCGGGGTCTAGGTGTGTATATATATATATATATATATATATATATATATATATATATATATATATATATATATATATATATATATATATATAACCTTTTTCACTCAAATCCTAATGAAACACCACAATTAGAATACGGTGGTAGCTGTTGTATAAACAGTGGGAACACAGTCCCACCACCGATCGTCTCGTGCGAAGCAAGCGTATAAATTAAAGAAAATACTTGCAGTTTGTTTAATATGTTACAGTATATTATAAATAAATAAATAAACAAATAAATCGGTAAATCCATTTCAAGTAAATGGAAAAATTTTACTCGACACCGACATTAGTTCCAGTTACCGGTAAATAGCAGACGCTTCAGTGACGTCACTAGTGTTTACACTACACCAGCGGGTAACATTTGATGACATTACTTGAAGTGAATTGGCCTTATTTTAACCCCTTCCCCAACAATTTTTTTGTTAAAAACGTTTCTTTTTCAGACTAATTTTTTTATTTTGGTTCTATATAGTATTTTTGATGCTGGTTATGAAAACAGTTTTTAATTATTTTTTCTTCCCATTTTTGTGGTTAACTTTTTATTTTGAAAATACCTTTGTCGGCAAAAACGAGTCAACTCGTCTTCCTATAAACCATATTTTTTTACCATATTTTCTTAATTTTTCTCAAAATTTTATTACCAAATGTAAAGAGAAATGAAAACCTATTTTATTTTTAATTTTCAGTGGAATGTACTGTACCCATCCTAACCTTCCTTTGAACAACATAAGGCTCTCATCTATACATACATCTTGCCTAGGGGTGTAACACTTCCCAAAGTTCTCACACAATGTCATGAATACATCATAAATCTTATACAATTTTGGGTTGGGGTGAGTTTCTGCATCATGAGTTTCATTATCTACAAAATGAAGATATTGCTTTATCTTACTGTACCATTTCATAGTCATTAGCTGCCGAAAAATTGGTCTTTCAAGCAGTTCATCATGTGACCAGTTCATTTCTTCTTCTGGCATTTTCACAATACCCCCAAGCATTTTCATGGCAAAAAATACAAAAAGTTCAGCCTCTGTTACAGGGCGCCACAAAGAATCATCTTGCCCAGTTTGTTCAGCAAAACGATTAGTCTCTACCAGTACAGAGTCAATAATCCTTTTATCAATAAAAAGACTGAAGAATTCAAATGGACTCAGTTCTGCTGGGTTTTCATCAATCTTTATTCCAGGATTTCCTGTGAAAGGAAAACGTGGTGGTGGTGTATTCATACGCTCCTCTGACAACTCGAGGCTTCTCCAAGCTCTCCCCTCACCCTCCTCCTCCTCCTCCTCACTTGTCGAGAAATAGTCATTGTCTGATGAACTGGCAGAGTTATCAGAAGTATTCAAGCTTCTGAGGGAAGGTTCATATTCACTATCTTCCGTTGAACTAGACATTTGGGGTGTAACACTTGAAAATGCTACAAAAAAATGAATGCAAATGTGGATGCAAACAACACCCATCCGACGACAATGGCTGTCGGAGCAAGTCTAGTAACAATGTCCTTGAAATCCCACAGCTCTACCCTATCGCCTCTGCCAGGCGTACGATTTGACGAGAATACTCGTTTCACACGTAGAATGGCTTACAAAGGCTTAAAATCGACGAGTATATACGTATGTAGCTGGTTTTTGAAGGTAACAGTGGGTAAGTGTCACATTTGGGGTACTGGTCTTATACAGCAAATAGAGCTCAAAAGCTACTTTTTAAATGGAAATTTGGGGGGGCCGTCTTATGCACCCCGACGCCTTATAGGCCGCGATATACGGTACCCTGAATTTGGTTAAATTTTGAATTTTTGGTAATTCGAGTGACCTGAGCCACTCTTTTAGTCAAATTAATGAGGGTACTGTACAGTATAGTGTATACTTCATAAATTCTGATTCATCTGCAGGGTTGCTGTTAATACTGCCCCACTATGATATACCTGAAACTAATCATTGGCTAATAAATGATATGGATATGTAAAATTATCATTTTATTCATACATTATATACAACCACATTTCAGAAGTTCTAGTTAAAGAAGTACTGTACCATACTTGGTAACACCAGGATACAGTATGAGGAAATAAAAATTTCATAAGTTACCTTACTGTACTAACAATAATCAAGAGATGTTTAGTGACTGTCTTCTTTGTAAAACCTGAGTCCACAGTAGATACAACTCTGATTGCCTGGTTCATCCTGTAAATAAATAAAATAAATGTTGTAGTTATTATTACTTTATAAAATAAAAAGTAGTTTTATTTATAGTCCAGTACAGTAAGTCCTACAATGTACTGTACTACAATGTACAGTATTGTATTTGCGATAGCCCAAAAAAAAAGGTGAGTCTGGCAGTCGGCCCAGTCTCTCTATATTTCAATTAATCCCATAGGGTCTGTTATTTTATTTAAGTGTTTCGCTTTATATGCGGACCTCCGTGGGTTTAATTAACCACGTAAGCCCAGACTATACTGTATATAAATGTTATTTGACGTATCACAATTGTTAAATAACAAAAGCAAGGGAGGTACTATGGTTTATGAATGCTGGGAAAGGAGGCACAGGGAGTTGAGACCTTGCTTCAGCCTTTTGACTTACCATGTGGGCCATTACTTTACATCAGAAAACATTCCTTATTTTTTGCATTTATTTATAATTTTACTTGTTTTCAGTATCTTATATTAGTTTGCATTTGTAACAGTAACAAGACTTGTCACTATAATCACATCCCCCTACCAATCCAGGCCAAGCTGTGAGCTATGTTATGGTTATTTTTCAACTCATAATTTTTGGTAGATAAGTACATGTAATTTTTTTCATTTCTTTTTAGAGTGTTACATACACACGCGTCTTACAGAATGTACTGTACACACAGAAAAAGATAAATAATTATAGCACTGTACAGTAAAAAACATTAACGGGAACATACTATCTATGCGTGGTAAGGGGGGGGGGTGGTGTGTAAGGGATCTCCGTTGTTCTGAGCGGTTTCCCTTGTGTATTGAAACTATTTACAAATTATGTTGTCTAGCAATCAAATGGCAATACTGTACTGTACTGTATAGTACAGTATTTACTGTTTTAACTTATTTACCGGTATTATTTTTATTAATTCCTCACATGATACACTATGACTACAGGAGGAAAATACCTGTGCATGCAAGTTTTCCTAAATATTCTTGCTGAAATGGAGGGGGGGGGGGTGCGCCTTATATGGCCATACGTCTTATATGCCACACGATACTGCAATTTTAAATCACGCCACAGCACTGTCATGACTAAGACCACTGTACTGTAGTAATGTCTCCGTTAGCCGGAATTTAAAATTTCTTGGAAAATTTTACCCAAAGTTAGAATTTTCCTGAAAATTCCAGCTTTGGGAACAATTTTCTGAGGGGCACACTTTCTGGAAAATTCCGAGAAAATATCCCCTAGTACCCGGAAAATTCTAGGGATGGAGGAGTTTTTTTCCCGGTTTTGAGAGATGAAAATCAGGCACATTTTCCCGGTACTTGGAAAATTCCAGGGATGGGGGATATTTTTCCGGTTCGAGAGATGACGTAATGTTCAATTTCTGGAACTTCAGAGAATATAATTTCCATTGCCCGGAAAATTCTGGGATGAGGGATTGTTTCCAGAAGTGCTCTGCACTGATTGTTCCACTCATGGAGATATCACTGTAGTAAGAACAACAGCACTCAGTCATGAATTGCAATGGTCAGTCAGTGCAAGATCCTATACAGTACAATACAGGTAAATGACATGACATTATATCTTAAAGGACAACCAGTTCACCTAATGTGCCACACACAAACACACACATATACTTTCAAGCATATATCTACCCACCCACCCGCACACACAATAAATACATATGCTTTTATTCCATTTTTAGGTTTATTTTTGGCAAATGAAATAAAATGTATTTAATTGGGCATTTTAAAAATGGGTTTGGGAGATTCCAATGCTCATGAGTGGCCCAACTAAAGCCTTGAACTCTCCCCTAACAACATAATAAAGTCACCTGTTACTGTTTTGCTTTTATGTAAATGATAATTTCAGTCCAATTATTTATATGCCTATAAAAAAGAAGAGAAATAGGACTTATTTTACACACAGAGACTGGCAGTGTGAGATTCCCTATAGTATAGCACCCCCTAGCAGAGTTGTAAGAGGAAGTGCTATGAGAGGTAGGAGTGTACACCATTAGTACTAAGTTCCATGGAATTCAAATGCAAATTACTGTTAGTTGATTTTATATATTGTACCTGTCCCTTTGATTAGACATACTACAGTGCACTATAAGTAGTGCACAATACCAATACAGTACTTACCAAATTGATATATACTCTAGGGTGACCTAGTGCTCCAGGGCCACCGTCACAAGCCACCACACGGGCATTCACACCCTTGGGAGGCACTTCCTTGATTAAGTTGATAGCCCAGCGATCATTTGTCTGTCTGGGCGTTATTTCAAAACGTGCATTACGGTAATCCTCCTCCACAAATGACTGCAAATAAAAAAAATATAATTACATGACATTACACAATCTGTACACACACACTGTTGCCTTAGTCACAACCAGATTATAATTTTGATTTCATCAGAGGGGTGAAATGAATTTCAGGAACATCAAGATCAACTAGTTTTTGTGTTTTCTAGTTCACTAATACTGTACAGGTTGGACCTCGCTAATCTGGGAAGCTTGGAACGACACTGGTTCCGGATTAGTGAAAATTTCCAATCACTGAAGCCGAGGCAAAACAATGCATAAAATGTACTTACTGGACCTCTTTATGGCAAAGTGTTAGTGCTACAGTACACGTTTACTGTACACTGGACTAAGCAAAGAATTTATTTGAAATACTGTGTAATATTCAATGCCATATATCCTGACAACTGGGATTAGTTATACAGACTTTTCCCCAGTGAAAAAGCCACAATTTTGAGCAACATATTACTCTACTCACTTTGTACTAATATGAACTAAGGTAAAGGAAAAAAAATTAATCTCTTGTGCAAACTATGAGATGTGTACTCAAATTAATTGCTACCAAAGAAACCTACCTAACCTTACCTAACTTCCTAGCCTTGGGCCATATTAAACAAAGTATAGAAGCACCATGGTGTAATTAAATTTTTTGTTGACCTGAGAGTATGCTCGGATTGAGCGGGTTTAATTGTAAACAAAGAGACGACACACAAGTGACTCGTCAGATTTTTCGGAGTAGTATTTACGGTAAATTATTAATGTCTTCATGTACAAAGAACACAGACATCATTTTTAGTGTCATCTGATCAGTTTTTCACCATATTTACCTTGCAATTTCCCCCCATCCTTCATACCCTGCCCCCTACAGGTGATTTATGATTGTAGATAGAGCAAAACTAAATTTTTAAAAACAAATACAGGGGGTCCCAGACTTACGAACGCCTGCCGATATGAACAAGGTCCCATAAGGTCAATTATTTTTAAAAATCGATATAAGTACAACTGGTTTGTAACATTTACGTACGAGAACTACCGTAGTTTGTGTAGTGTAGAGGGGAGGTAGAGCGGAGCGTGGGGAGTGATGCTTCACACCCAGCCACGTGTCTTGAAGGAGTGGGGGCATCAGTATGCTTTATCCTCACTGCCTTAACGTGTGTAATCAAGTGTAAACTGTTGCTTTGAGTTTATTAACTCATCATGGCATCCAAATGCAAACTTGATGCAAGTGATCGTAGTGCATCCAAGAAAAGGGAAACAATTACAATGGAAGTGAAAGTTGATGCAATTAAACATTCTGAAAAAAGCGAAACACCCTCAGTGATTGGTAAGGTGTTGGGTTTCAGTCGTTCAACGGTCGAAACAATTTTGAAAGACAAAGAAAATTCTTGAATATGTAAAAGGCTCTCCACCAATGCACTCAACTCTGATAACAAAACAATAAAGTGGATTGTTAACTGAAATGGAAAGATTGTTAGTAATATGAGTGAAAGATCAAAATCAATGGGATTTGCCTCTAAATCTAGCTTTGATTCAGGAAAAAGTGAGAAGCTTGAAGGCTAAATGTGGTGGTGAAAGTGATGGGGAAGATTTTGTTGCTAGTAGGGGCTGTTTAACATGTTCAAGGTAAGGGTAAATGGTGTTTGGAAAAAAAAACACTGCCCACAGTTTGTCCACAATTTCAGGTGCTTTGAAAATGATGCTGGCGAAGTGACATAGACAGTGGTGGTACCTTGGGAACCAACTCCAGCTTGATATTCATGAGGATGATGTCACACAGTTGCTTGAGTCTCATGCTGAAGAATTAAGCAATGAGGACCTGATTAACTTGGAGAAGCAAATTTTGTCAGACGATGTAGAGGAAGCTGAAACTCTAGAACCAAAGGGATTCATTACAAAAGAAATGGCAGATGGTTTCAGGTGTATTGAAGGATTGTTTAAACTTAAACAGCAATATTTACCAAGGTTCATAGAAGTATTACTGTATATCTATGATGCTACAGAGATTTATGATTGAAGTTTTAGTTCAACCTCAACCATCCCAATAAAGCCTCTGTCACTCCTACAAATGCCCATCTCTACATACAAGCCAGCCACAGGTTTCAATGTAAGTGTTAAAATTACTTTTTACTTTTCGTTACTGTATTTTGTCATTCAATTTCTTATTTTCTCTTAAATTAAGTGATTCGAGATGTATAAAAGGACTTGGGCTATGATATAGTGCACATGGGGTTGATGTTCGTTTTTATCCCAATATGTATTTTCGATTTTCTACCATTATCACTAGGATTCTGTTTTAGTTAGGAAACGATTTTCTTCTATGGCATTTGCTGAACAAATTTATATTTTTCTAGTATTTTAAACGATATGACTGCCCCAATTACCAACAATATTGGTTGCTCAAAGTGGACAGGGCTTTGAAATAGGTTTTCAAAGGTTTGTTAGGGGTTCTTTGTACAGGTTGTACCTCTGTAGTCCGGCATTCTGTGGTCCGGAAACTCCCGTGGTCTGGAACGATTTTAGTTTGTCCAATAGGTAGATAGGCAGCTTTTTTTTTTCCTTATCTGAATTATTATTATTATTACAGGAGTATTAAATTTTTGCCCCTCAGGCCCCAATGTGGGTCAGTGACCTATGCCCGGGTGGGCTAATCCCCTTAAAAAAAAAAAAAAGCCGCGGGAAATTAAGGTTTGTTTACATCCGGCAGTTCGGCTGCTCTCTTTCGCTCTCTCTCTCTCTCTCCTTGTCTATACAGAGTACAACATTTAATCCTTCAATATATATGAGCAGTAAATAAGTGTTGCTTTCATATTCTTATGTAGAGTAATAACGATATGTTTTCACATGTGTGCACTTACATACGCGCAGTCTCACATTTTTTTTTACCATTAATGGTTAGCTACTTATATTGTTCCATTTATTAACATTAAATAACATTACAGGTACTTCAAACAACCATATTATTTTTTTACATTAATTTTACTAGAGCTAAAATCAGGGTCTTATTTTCTTCAGTTATATATGTAGAACCAATCAGTCACTGGTTTCGTAAGCTTTAACATAAACAATGCCGGCAGCCGTCTCGTCTCCTCTAATATTCCACGTATTATTAATAAATTGTATTGTTAATTTTGCACACACATACATTAATTCAATAAAAACAAATTCAGAAACATTAATTAAAATATATATGAACAGTAAATAAGTGTTGCTTTCATATTCTTATGTAAAGTAATGACGATATGTTTTCACGTGTGCGCATGCGCACTTACATACGCGATCTCTCTTTTTTCTTTACCATTATCGTTAGCTACTTCTATTGTTCCATTTATTAACATTAAATAACATTACTTAAAACAACCATATTAATTTTACTACAGCTACAACCAAGGTCTTATTTTCTTCAGTTTTATATGTAGAACCAGTCAGTCACTGGCTTTGTAATCAACGAAAACAATGCTGTCATTTCCTCATGTGTTTTAATATTCTGCGTATTATTAATGAATTGTATTGCTCATTTTGCACACAAACATTAATTAAAAAAAAAAAGACATTCAGTAATAAACAATAATGAATCTTTTGTACATAAGAGAAATGACGCTGTTTACACGATTATGCACGTTGTCTGCACGTTGGTGGGCCGTTCAAACCCGTTGAAATTCAAGTTTACGCCGTCAAAATTTTTATTTATTTATTTTTTTGTGTGTTCCAATAAAATACGTTAAGAATTAAAAACTCGCGAAATTTGAGAAGCTACTATACGACATTTAACCTTTCAATATGTCTTCAAAGAGACCATGATGCAGAGAAAGTGGTGCTAGTGCTTCCAAGCATAAGCACAAGTCACTATCTATCCAGGAAAAGGGTGAATTTCCATGGTCCGGCATCGGTCAGGTCCCGAGGTTGCCGGACTAGAGAGGTACAACCTGTAGTATTTTACCCCTGATTTTCCCTCTACATACTTCAAAGCCCTGGCCACTTTGAATAACTAATATTGTTGGTAATTTTACTGATTAAAATACTCCGTACATACTTAAAATTTTTAATTTGTGCAGGAAATACCACAGGAGAAAGTCCATTCCTAACTAAAACAGAATCCTAGTGATGGTAAAAAATCCGATAAATATCGACACCTAATCCACTGTCCCTTCGTTTGGCAGATAATTAGGTGCCTAGCCGTGCACTACTTTGTCTTCTTGGCACTAATACGGTACTGCATCCCCAGATGTAAACAGCCAATCATACTGACGTATTTCAAAGCACTCTGCCACACTCCAATCGACGCCAGTTTACATTTATGAGCTGCATGATTTGGGTGGCTGCTCTCATCCACAAAAAGCATAAAATTACACCATACCTGTTTATTATGTCGTGGGGGGGGGGCCACAGTGGACAGAGCCCCATGGCTAGGAAGTTAGGTAAGGTTTCTTTGGTTAGGTTGGTGAGGTCTTCTAATAATGCTTTGGCCACTTGTGTTTTTTATGAACTAAGGTTAGGTTAGGTTAGGTTAGGATAAAATGATAACTACTTTTTAACGCATTTGCAAGAACTACGAGTCTCCACTATAAAAAACAACAAAATTATATGAAAAATAAGTGGCTGGTTGGCCGTTAATAATTACCAAAAACCCAAAATACCTATAAGGATAAAAACGAATATTAACCCAAGTTCCAAATATTTACCACCACCTGTATAATGATAAGAACATTTGTGGGGAAAAAAATGACGAAATCGAACAAGTCCTTCTTGTGGTAACAGCGTTCCCATAAATTACCTTAATTTTCCATTATTGTAACTAACAAATCCTTACCAAATGCACACTTCGTTCTTAATGAATTTCACGACATTACCAGTTTTTAAAATTTAAAGTTAAGGGTAAATTTACAGTTTCAGCCACAACAACTGTTCGACCAAAAATTTTTGTTTTTCCCATGGCATTTGGTGTAATTCATTCGAATTTTACCTTCATTTCCACGAGTCATTTTGGACTTATCACCCTCCCCATACAACCTGACCTAACCAGTATGGTGTAATTTTACGTTTTTTTTTGTGGTTGTGAGTACGCTCAGACCGAACGGGTCGGTTGTAAACAAACAGATGACACGCAGTAACTGCAGATTTACGTTAATTTCTTATGTGAATTTACTTTCTTGGTTAATATCCATTTGCGATGGAAGTGGTATTAGAAAAAGTTGTTCCTATTGACAAGGTAAACACAAAATTGCTCCGAGTTGTGGCCGAGACTGTAATGATACCAAATTAAGAACCACTTTCTAAGATAAATGGAGGAATAGTTCACATCACCTGAAGATTTGGTCCCCAGTTTATTTCATCTGAAGATTAATGCTATCCTTGGTAAATTTTTACAAGTTGCCCAGAATGGTTTTGGACATGAAACTAGAATTTTTCCAAAGGGTTTTGATGTGTTTTGAACGATTCTGACCTTCCTTTCTATCACAAATAACTCGTTTTTGAGTTTGACAATCTTGAGAGACCTTTGAGAAATCAGGTTTTTTTGGTTCGGAGACAGAAAAAACGAGTGATATGCTAAATAAATGGGTAAATTTATAGTAGCTCACACAACTCTGTTAGAAAGTCAAAACTACGTTTGTATAGTGTATTTTTGTGTGTTTTGATTGGTTCTGACCTTGATTTCCGTCAGAAATTGCCTGTTTTTAGTTATCGCCCTCTTCTACCCCCAACAAAAGTGGGGATCCTGTTGGGAACAGGATTTTTGGGTGGGTCTTTTCCGGCAAAAATCATGACCAAGTGAATACAAATCCCCAAAACACTAAAAAAACATATAAACCTAACCTTTTTTGGGATGACCTAACCTGACCTGACCTTACTCTCACGGTGTTTTTAAGTTACCAGACTCTCACCATACGAGGGAATCACCATTATTTCTTACCTTATTCCGAATTAGAATCTTTACTGAGGTCGGGAGAACACCATGAGATCTAAAAAATGCTATTGCTTGTTCGTTGTTTCAAAAAAATGCGCAATTAGCTTCACATAATTGAAGTGACATCCATCGCAGACTTCCATGGTTGGAAATGAATTTGATTTTCAAAGCATGAGAGACCCAAAATCACAATCGAATCCAATTGGGCAAAAAATACTGTGAATTCTAAAAGCAGAAACCCCAATTCATTTTAATGGAAGGAAAAAAAAAACAAAAAAACAAAAGAACATAAGAATATAAGGAGTCTGCAATAGGCCAGTTGGCCTGTGCGTGGCAGCTCCTGTCGAGAGTTACTACCACTCTCTATCATCCATGAATCTATCCAGTCTCCTTTTGAAACTTTCCAGCATTCCAGCACTTACTACAAAGTTGCTAAGCTTGTTCCACTCGTCCACCACCCTATTTGTGAACCAGTTCCTACTTATCTCCCTCCTAAACCTAAACTTATCCAACTTAAGTCCGTTGCTTCGAGTCCTATCCTGCTCGGATATTATAAGAACTTTATCTATATCCCCTTTATTGATTCCTTTCACCCACTTAAATACTTCTATCATATCTCCCCGCACTCTTCGTCTTTCTAGGGAATGCAAGTTTGGTTTCTTTAACCTAACCTGATATGGAAGGTTTCTAAGTCCCGGAATCATTTTCGTCATTCTTCGCTGCACCAACTCTAGTGAATTGATATCCATAAACTAACCTCCCCGGCGGGGAATCGAACCCTGGTCTCCCGCGTGACAGGCGGGGATACTCACCACTATACTACCAAGGAATCGCTTTTAATTGGCTGCGTGACGTGTATGGGAACGCATGACCGTGATAATTTATGAAGGAAACACACTGAGTGGGGGTCGGGTAGGCGATAATGGCTGAAGATTAATGGAATTAAATAAAGAGAGATTTGGGATGCGCTATCTCCATTATTATGCTTTTCTGACAGAAATGTATAAGTAGAAAATTATCTTAAAATTAGACGTCTTTTTCGAATGTGATAAATGATTTGGGGTAGGCATGTTGTGTGAACTATAAAAAAAACAATAAATAACCAAAGTTGGCTCTAATTTTCCTAAAAAAAAAAAAAAAAAATTTGAGAATCTGAGTAAAGTTTTGGCGAAAGATTATCAAATTCGAATCACACCAAAACATATTGGCAAACTCAAGGTTTCATCTCAAAATCAGTTTCTGTGCTAACCTAACCTGACCTAACTGCCATTGCTCAGAATATATATATTACCTAACCAAGGGGGAGGGCAAAACCCCCTGGCTGGTGGGGGGCTCCACCCACAGGAACCCCCCCCCCCTTTCAAGACCTCATATCAAAGCAACCAACCTAACCAAACAAACCTAACCTCTAAGTCAGACTGTAGCACATGTGTACTGCAGACTAGTAACAAACATACAAACACACAGTTCTCCGAGGATGCAGGTAACATCAACACTGGACTTTAAAAATATTCAATGACTCCCTAAAAAATTAATGCGATTTTCTCGAAAACTAATCATTTGCGACGGAAACGTTACTAGGAAAAGTTGTTAGAAATGACGATATACCTACTGTAGAACTGGACCCAAAAATACTTTGGGACATTATGGGCAATCTGTAAAAAAAATACCCTACCCTAACCCCACAATTAGCACTAATGTGGTTAACCTTAGGTGAAATATGTTGGGGAGGGGGGACGAATCTTCACGTGATCCAATATTTATCCTGTAATAAAGTTAAGACTAAAGCCTAGTTTTAAAGCTTTGAGGTTCCGAGCCTTTTGTCAGTTATTATAATTTTTTCTTCAAATTTTACTTCCTTTCGGTGATTAGGCATAGTAACTCAAACTAAACCTGTTGTCTCTCTAGCCTTAGGTCCAGGTGCAGGGAAACATCTGCAATAGTTACCCTAATTTACTTAAATTTTTTTCGGTACCTGTCCAGTATGAATGGGCTTGTTACCCAGAGCTGCAGCAGTGGTGTGGACGGCTCTGGAGTTCCTCGGCACAACACCAAACAAGAGCCGTAAACTCCGGCTAGAGGTGAGGGCCAAGCCAAACGACGCCATGTTTACTACAACAGCTGATTCTGCTATTAGTACTACAGTCTTTGAAGATGACAAAATATCATATTATAATGTATGTTTATACAAAATAGGATAGAGTAAATTCAAAATACAGCATTGAAATGATTTTGATATGTGACAATGTATTTCATTTCGTAACAAATGCAAATTGCAATCACTGTCGATTTTTATAATAAAATTGAAACGTGTGTACTTATTCATATGCATTTCATAAGGAAAAAATAATGAAAAAGTTAGTAGACGCAATTGCCACCCTTAGGTTTCCTGAAAAATAATACTTACACAAAAGTCTGTGGGTTTCAACGTATGTTAAAGAAAATGTTAAAAGGATGACTGAACTATTTAAAACGATCTCTGCACATTTACCTTACAGTATATACCTAATAGCCAGTTGATCACCCAATATATACACACACACACACATATATATATATATATATATATATATATATATATATATATATATATATATATATATATATATATATATATATATTGTGACCCTTTGTGGGGCGGGCGTCCGCCAGCTCCAGGTATGTACAGTCGGGGTCAAAAGTCTTGAACACTTGACAGTATTTGGCATGTAAGTACCTGAAGATCTTAGGTATTAAGGAGAGTTTTATCCCATTTTGTGGTTCAGGCATAATATGTGATGACAAGTAGTATTATTAGTATATCCCAATCATATATGTATAACTCAGAAGTAGATGCCAGATATTGCTAAGTGTTCAAAAATTTTGACCCCACCTGTATACTCGACCGAGTTGTGCCCTCTGAGAAGTTTATACTCGTATGGGCCCCTTACCCGTCTGTAGTACAGTATAAGCTAGGCAGTTGCAGTCGTTTAATCCCTCTGGGTAGATGAGGCTCCGTAAAGCAGGCACCAGCCTGGAGGCCCTCCTTTAGACATTTTCAATTAATAGACAGTCTCTAGCATATCTCGGGGACCAGTACTCCAGATATTATTAACTTAATTATCTTTCATTGCTAAAGAAGAAAAACAAATCTTCGATAAGTAACTAATGTACTTGCAGAAGACATAATGAAATATTCTAACCAATTAAAGCGAGGGTAGGTACCAGTAATATTTGAATGAGAGGATCACCGCGGAATTTACACTCAAAATAGCACGTACGTAGGGAGATAACATCAAACACCCTACTCTAACTTAATCTGACCTAACCTAACCAGCGGAGTTAAGGTGGTTAATCTTCTGGTGAAATAAACTATTGGAGGGGTCGACAGGAAGGATTCCTGGTTAGATGGTACATTAGCAAGGATATCTGTAGGATATTTGGGTCCGTGAACAAATCCTCCTGGACAAAAGAAAAAAAACAGACCCTCTCCCGCTGCTCACCCGCCTATAACAACTACCACGACCCACAAATTCTTCCCTCGTGTGCTTGAGAGCCTTGTTCACCACCGACTCAAGTCAACTCCACCTGTGTCAGCTTTGTCGGGTAATCTGCCTCACGCGTCGTGCTAATTAAGAGAAAACCCCCAATTGGTCGTCTCCACCTGTTCCTTCCTCACCTGAGTCAGCCAGTCGTCGAAATACTCAAGATCATATGCCATAAAAACACATCAGCACCTGGCGTCAACATATCACTGAAAGAACACTTAAGGGGTCATGTCAGGGGTTAAGATTTGAATGACACTGAATTTTAGGTCCATAGATACACCATTAACGTCTTTACACACACACACACGTCATTGAAGTTGTCAAATCTTCCAGTTTCCGTCTCCACCTTCTCCGCCGACTCAAGTCCCTCAGAGTTCCTGCGCCCAAGCTCACCTATGCCTCCCATACCTGGTCTTCCTCCCTAAATGCCAGACAACGTAAACACCTAGGAAAAGTGCAAAAGAGGGCATGCAAGATTATTCTCCCTTCCTATACTCCACATATCAAGAAGTGCTCAACACACTGACCCTTTCGACTCTCACTGACCATCACCACGACCTGATCTGCAAATTTGGTGAGAAGCTTCTTCACCATCCTCGACACCGGCTCCTACTACCACCCGAGATCCCTCGTCCAAGAATTGCTGTTCCACACCACAACCGCATCCAGCCCATGCGAGCACGTACTGCTCGCTATGAGAACAGCCTAGTCCCAACCATTGTAAAAAAATATCAATAACTTGTAATCAACCAGTGTATTCATTCCCAGTCACTCTTACCTTTTTGCACTGTCACCATGTTGAAATGCCCTGCAGTATGACCTTCTCCACACCTAGTCATTATACATCATATTTGTATCACTTATGTTACTTGTATATTATTTGTAAATCAAGAGACCCATTCTCCAATTATGCAACTGTATATTTTCAGCCTTCCGGCTGTCATGCTCTTTCAATAAACCTTTAATTATTATTATTGCACACACACATTTACTTTTATCCTCTTCACCACTGATCGGCTCGTTAGCCGCTTGGGCGATCGGTCGCGTCTCTGTTGGCATGCACCGGCTCCTGAATATATCTGAACGTACGTTCGAAAAACGGTATAGTGTCAACTTTAAAGCTTCTGACATGACTTCGTAAGAAACTTAATGCCAGATGAATGGTTATCAACTTCTGTCTGTGGTGGCGTAGTGTGAGACGGTAGCGATACGCCATCAAGGCGAATTAAGACAATGAACTTCGGAAAAGAAGGACTGACCGACTCTGTGCCAGACTCAAGTGCCGTTAAAACCCGTGGAAGCTGCGGCCAGAGCGAGATAATGAGGTGCGTGTCTCTCCACCAACAAAACCAACGCAAGCTGGATGAAACATAAACTCTGATGGTAAGAACACCCGAGTAAGTCAACATCCCTTGGGCAGGTTAACATCCTCTCTGGCAGACGTAACGAGTTATTTTTGTTCCATTAGAATTATATCATCTAACTATTATTAAATGATCTTACCTTAGAACAGTCTTGGTGTTTTAATTTTTTTTTTGTATTCATTGGTGTTATTTTTGTTTTAACTTACGAGGATTTTCATGGTACGAGCCTTGACAAATGTGACCCCTGGACTCATTGACACAACCACCGGTAGGCTGGAGTGAACAAACATGATGGTCATTTACTTATAAAACTCTGAGTGAATGTCAATAACAACATCCGTACTTACACCCGCGCGGACACAGCAGTTGATTAATACAATGTTTGATTTATCGACAGATAATATTTACCAATTTAATGACAAATATGAAATTAAATAATTAGATACAGAATTACATTTTGAAAATCAGGAGCCACATTCCTAAAAGTCGTACGATGTATATTGCTCGTAAGTGAAGATTGAAGAATAAACATTACTGGTTGATCTATTCTGGAGAAAGTAAAGTTAATTGATAATATCAAACATACACTAACATTCCAACTTAACTACACCAGGCAGGAGAAAATCAGGACAGAGAATTTGCATACCTCCAAACCCACTTGAATTTTGGTGGACCGTTTGGGTGCGAGTCATCATAAAGGCTCACAGCTAACAAGGCGCCCCACTGATTTTTAGACACAGAAACACAATTAACTCAGGAATGATCGCAGTTTCTATTCTCTTCCTATATTTTTATCATCCATAGGAAGCACAAAGCAATCATGCACGTCTGTCTGTCTATCTATTCGCGAGTGTTTCCGTGCTCTACTAGCTAGCTTCAGTACCTCACCTTCAGGAATGCCAAGGTCAGGTTCAGATACAAAGATCGCCAACTTTTAAAACGACTCTGTATTCCCTACTAGAGTCTTCGGTACACACGAGTAAACCTTCTTTCCACGAGGATACTGAAGCTCTCGTATACCATAACACGATCAAAATACAACCCACATCAAGACTATCAACCAATAAAAAGGAAAAACAAACAAATTATTCTATATCATACCTAAAGTACTCCAGCTGTTAATATTAAGAAAGTTGATAGAGGGTCGTTCATTGGCTACGTTGATATACTTTATTTAAAATATAAGTATCCCTCACTTACATAAAACGTCTATAAGTAAGGTCAGGGGAGGCAGGAGCCATAAATCTCACCCGATTTAGGAAAAAATAAATAAAACGTTGATTTCGATTTTTTTAAAGAGAAAAATAAATATGACCTGTGATGGTATATATTCACGTTTTAGGTACAGCTTTTTTTCAATAGAATCCAGTTCGTATTTACACCAACGATTTATTCTTTTTTTTTGTAATATTGAAATGTGACAACAAAACATAGAGCCTTTAATTCTTTTTTGGTACAGTGTGATGAAAGTGTTTTAAAGTTACTGTGTGTGTGTGTCAGTATAAACACCCGCGCCACAACTCGCTGCCCAGGCTTACTCTCCTGTACCTCTCCGACCTCTAAATTCATTCGTTTATTCATTCTAGTTCACTGATTAAAAAAACTAACTAGATCATCCACCACCATCATTATGTGCCACAAAACTTAGAACACAACACTGGCGAAACACACACACACACACGAGAATGTTTTTAAAGAGTAAGGGCAGCACCACCACGTCAGCAGTTTATCACAGACCCAAGGTTAATACTCACAAACATTTGGCTTAAATTCTACCAGGCTGTTGTGTCGTTGTGCTCACAGGTCGGCGCCACACACACACACACACACACCATCCTCCCTATACTTTCATATTTACCTTTCCTCCACACTCTTCATGTCGTTTGTTCCAGTTAAGAAAAACAAAACAACAAAAGAAACGTGTACATGTAAGTCACCATCATTGTACCTTATCTATGAAATATTGTTTACAGGTTCCAGTGTTTATACTAGGCATTACAGTAACACCATCGCTGAATATTTAGTTGGTAAATCTTTCTAAAATATTCGTTTAATAAAAAAATAATAATATCTGTTACTTACACGCCTATTGTGATAGGTAATTAAGTAAATGTGTGATAAGTATTCGAATAATTTTCACTCAGACGTCCCTCCCCCCGCCCCCCCATCATCGTCAGTTACCAACAGACATACAGTACACCATTCTTGTTTGTTTGTCAGTCTAACACATCACTACTGTTTGTTTG